ATAGCTATAATCTGACATAGTTATTTTTTTGTGACAAATCTATATTTAACAAAAATCTCAAATACCATACAATTTTATTAACTATAGTCCTCATGTTGTACATTTAATCTCTAAACTTGTTTAAACATTATTATTACCATCCATCTCTGTATTTAAAACATTTTTATTAGAAGAATAAAATCATGCTGAAAACTGTACTTACTTTTCGGAATCACATTTACCTCATTCATTTGCCCCATACCCAAATAGAAAGGATAGTCGTTATGCACACTAAAAATGCTGATTAGCTATAATTATCTTTAAGATGGATGGATGAACCACAAATTAAATTCTTAAACTTGCAAGTAAGGGGAATTAAATTACCCTTTAAAACTGTAACCAGAAAATCAATTATATTGGATTGAAGTAGAGATTACCAGTCACCCATGGAGTCACAAGCTCTGAAAATAGAACAAGACTTAACCCTAACATATTTCAAGGTATTAATATGTGAGGCAATGGGAGAAGGGTCCTTCTACATATGACATGTGCTGGAACAAAATCTATAAATAAAGAAGCCCAAATTATTGGTGAGCGTGTGATTATGGAGCAGGTACATCTCATTTAAAGAGAGCATGTAGGTGACATATTTTCTGTGGCCTGTGAAGGACCAGAGACTCTGTGCAGCCTGGAAAGCTATGGCTTGTGGTATATAATCTGGATTGTGTAGCCAGGAAACAGCTTTAATCACTACTATGAATTAAGACGAAGGGAGCAAACAAGAAAAGCTAATTTCAGGTGAAATTTAAAACTAGGCTGGTGTTTAAAACTTACTGGCACCTCCCACCTATAATCCTAGCACTTTAGGAGGCTGAGGTGAGTAGAGCACTTGAGCCCAAGAGTTTGAGACCAGCCTAGGCAACACAGCAAAACCCAGTTTCTGCAAAAATTAGCTGAGCTTGGTGGCATGTACGTGTGGTGAACGCTACATGGGAGGCTAAAGTGTGGGGATTCCTTGAGCCCAAGAGATCAACGATGCAGTGAGCAGTGAGCAGTGAGCACACCTCCGCACTCCAACTTGAATGACATAGTGAGATGCTATTTCATTCATAAATAAATAAAAATAAAAACTTGGAAATGATGTGAGAAACCCAGAGACCTACAAAGAAGCATTTCATCCCCAAGCATATTGTCACAAATAGTAAAATACTGACATCAGTGACCAATTTATTAGCAAGTTGCATGCCTCTAAATGTCAACATCTCTATGTTAGCCTGCAGCACCATTATCTCTCAGAGGGACCCCTGGGATAGCCTGCCTGCCCTTCATTTTCTCCATCCATAGACCTCCGAGTAGTAAGAGACAGCCTGGAAAATGTAAATTAAATTATGTCATTCCTCCAATCCCTCAGAGTAAAATCCATAGTCCTCACCATGGCCCGAAAGGTCCAATATATACCTCAATCTTGTTTCCCATCATAATTTCCCTAACACTGATTCTCTCCAGCCACGTTGTTTTCCCTTGTTCCTTCAATCCCTAAAGCTTATTCCTACCACTTTGAGCATGATCCCACGGCCTGGAATTCTCTTCCTTCAGTTGTTCACAACATTCCCTCTTCTGCTTCATCTGACCTCTACTCAAATTAGGACTCTGCTAATGTCTCTAGAGGACTCCCGAGAGGACTGCACTGACCACCCTACTTGAAACAGAAGTCCCCAACACAAATCACTGATTTCATGCTATGCTTTTTACGTTATGGCATTTATCACTGTCTGAAAATTTATATATGTATATGTGTCTGCACACACATGTATACATGTGTGGATACACACTTATGGTGATATATATATAACTATAAACTATATCTAAATATACAAGTTATATTTATATATGTGTAAACTATATAAAGTATAGTTATATAGTTTATATGTAATTATATTTCATAACAATGTTTTGTGTGTGTGTGTGTGTACACACACACACACACACACACACACACACACATAAATGTGCATAGTTATATACATAGCCTGCAGTCTAAGTCCTTTCCTAACAGACTAGTTCACTCTGGTGGAGATGAAGATAAAACCAAGCCCCTCATGTGGGGTTTTAACAGCCAATGATTTTATCTACCCTAAAGGCTTTTTTTCTTTATTATGAGCCCTTCCCTTAGTTATCTCCACACTAAATCATGTCAACTTACTCACAGTTGTCTGTGAACAGGAAGGAGGAAATTGTATAAACAGATTTTTATTAATAGTATATGTAAACTTTTTTTCAAAAATCTTAGTTTTGCCTCACCTTTTTAATTTTCAATGACTTTGACTTAAATATAATCAAGAGTTCTTTTTTATAAAACTTTGGAATAACACCCATCCTTACATTTCAACACATATAGTGAGATCAAAGGCCTAACCAACTGCCTCCATGAAGACGAACTCTTTTAGATCTTTTTTTTTTTATTATTATTATTATACTTCAAGTTCTGGGGTACATGTACAGACCGTGCAGGTTTGTTACATTGGTATATATGTGCCATAGTGGTGGTTTGCTGCATCCATTGCCCTGTCATCTACAGTAGGTATTTCTTCTAATGCTATCCCTTCCCAATCCCCCCACCCCCTGTTATTCCTCCCCTAGCCTCCCACCCTGCAGGCCTTGGTGTGTGATGTCCCCCTTTCTGTGTCCTCATTAAAATTATATCACATGAATAATGCTAAAAGACTAAAGTGTGTTTTCAAGCAGTTTTCTGATGTCATACTAGTGTTTCATTATAACTTTCTGAAATCAAGCTTAGGCGAGGATTTCTCTACGACATAACATAGAGTGACTCTACCTCATAAAGCTGAAATTCATACCCAGGGTGAAAGGTCAGCCACAGGCAAACTGCAGCATATTTCACTGAAAAATTAGAGGACTATTTCAGCCTCTCAATTTCCAAGAATAGTAAGGCGATTTCCAAGCTACTGACAGATTTTAAATTGCCATACCTTTTGTTGTGGCCATCTCTCATTTTTTTGTAATTCAAGAAATAGCTTTGTCAATTTCCTGAGTTTCTAGTGTGTTATTAAAAATTATATATTTCTGCTAATATATTATTATCTTCATACCCTTAAGTCAGTCAGTCAAGTGGTCACAAGATCATGATTAGATTGTCTATAACAGTGCCTTACTTATAGAAGCTATGCATTAAATATTTCAGTAAGGAAAACAATAAATGATCAAAGTAGTAAGTATACAAATATATTAGTAATCCCAAATACATCTTCCTCAAATATGTTGGAAAGAAGCTTCATCCTCTCCAGTGAGAGAAGGTTAATAAGACCAGACTGTTAAAAAATAAAAAGTATAATGGGGATCTGATCAATTTTCTTGAAAGGTGTAAGTCTTGAGAATGCTTGAAATATAATTTATTTGTTGTTGTTGCTGCTGAGACAGGTGCTCCCTCTGTCACCCAGGATGGAGTTCAGTGGTGTGATCATAGCTCACTACAACCTCCAATCACTGGGCTCAACCATTCTCCCACCTCAGCTTCTCAAATCCTGGGATTACAGAGTGTGCCACCACGCTTGACTAAATTTTTAACTTTTTACTTTTTGTAGAGATGGAGTGTTGCTGTGTTTCCCAGGCTGATCTCAAACTCCTGGCCCCAAGCAATCTTCCTATCTTGGTCTCCAACAGTGGTAGGATTACACCGTACCTAACCTTGAAGCACAATTTCTAATACTTTATCGTTTATTCTGCCTTATAGTGCTTTTATGTTCCTGTTTATATTAAAATATATGAGAAGTGATCAAGTAAGAGATAATTCATGGTCTATAAATTCTACAAACGAATTAGCAGAGATGCAAAGTAAAACAAACACATCCAGGAGGATTCTACTATCAAATCTATAAATGCCACATGAATGGATTTAGGAAATAAAGAAAAATGGACAAAATGAGGGAAAACAGCAGAGGAACTGGTGAAACTGTCAAACCCGGAATTCTATACACACTGTGTGTCTGGGTTTTGTGTGTGTGGTTTTTTTTGTTTGTTTGTTTGTTTTTTGTTTTTTGGTTTTTTTGCTACTGGTCTGTTTCCCACGTGGTGTTTGCGGGTTGGAGGAGTGTCCGTTGTTTGGCATCAACTGGAATTACAAGGAGGTTTCCTCAGCAATTCTGAGAACACAGATAAACATTCCTGATATCATAGTAAAACACTAATGTAATAAAGAAACAAGCTGAAACCAATCATATAACCTGAAATATTAAGAATGCAGGTAAGTCAGGGAACGGCGGCTCACACCTGTAATCCTAGCACTTTGGGAGGCCGAGGCGGGTAGACTACCTGAGGTCAGGAGTTCAAGACCAACCTGGTCAACATGGCAAAACCCTACCTCTACTAAAAATACAAAAAAAAAAATTAGCTGGGCATAGTGGTGGGCACCTGTAATTCCAGCTACTTTGGAGGCTGAGGTAAAAGAATTGCTAGAACCCTGGGGGAGGACGTTGCAGTGAGCCAAGATAGCACCATTTTACTTCAGTCTGGGCAACAGAGCAAGACTCTGTCTCAAAAAAGAAGGAGGAGGAGGAGGAGGAGGAGGAAAGAAAGAAGAAAGAAGAAAGGCAGAAAAAGAAGGAGGAGGAGGAGGAAGAAGAAGAAGAACAAGGAGAACAAGAAGAAGAAGAAGGAAGAAGGAGGAGGAGGAGGAGGTGGGGGGGAGGAAAAGGAGGAGGAGAAGAAGAAGAATGCAGACACTCAAATAGGAATTAGTTAAGCACAAATCTGAATCTTTCTGTAGGCAGGTCAACCCTGGAAGCTCAGCTATCTCATCTGTAAAATACGGGTAACACCCATTCCACAGGTTGGTTATGAAGAAAAAAATGAAGCATTTGGTCAATACAGGTTCTTAATCAATGGTGATTTGTTATTGCTGTTTGTTGTTATTATTCTTGTTTCTATAGTTGGTATTATTATATATTGGCCCATTTCTGAGCATATATCATACAACTGAATGATTGCTTAAAAAGAGAACTTACCCACAAAGAGTTGACTGTTGAGCTGTAAGAGGACATGGCCATCCGCTGGGGCAGGCTGTGTCTCTGGTGTGAGCTGATCCACTTGAATGGATGCCTCCTTCATGTTTCTTTCAACTCTCACATGGTGCCACTGGTTGTCATTGAAGTGGGTGGGTGACTGCACTGAGATTTCAAAAGGCCCATTCCCCACATCAAATGAAAAAGTCACTACTGTCGGAGCTGGAAATATTACACATAAAGATTGTTCTAGTAAGTTCATGTAGAGTGTTGAGTCTCCAATACACTTAGGAATAGCACCAGAGCATAGCAATCGCTAAATAGAAAGGTAACAAACACAGCATGGTTTGAATGCTATTGTTTGAAACGCATGACACTGGCACAGAACTAGGTCTTCTGATGAGACAAATACATTCATATTTTTTAAAAAAATCAATGATATTCTAAGGTATTTCTCCTCAGAGTTAAGTTTTGCTGTTGATAAGAAGTAAAGCTATTTATCCAAAGAAAGAAAGCTAAGATCAACTGGCATTGTATTTAAAAATAATTGTTACAGTAATTCAAAGTTTATATAATTCCAAAGGCATGCTATACACACTTGATATTCAGATAATAGCAGCTTAGGAGTATATCAAAATGAGTGGTTGATTTAAGTAATTTGTAACTGACTAAAAAATTGCCTTTTAGTTTTAATTAACTGAAATTAAAACTGCTTTTAAATTGTTATAAGAAACTACCAATTACTTCCCCGAATTATCACGTTAAGTATTACATTATATTCTTATAAAAAGGATAAGTTAATATCATTGAGTTTTTCAAAGGGGCACAATGAAAAGAGTTAGATGATAAAGTAGACATATGAGTAGTTTAAAAATCAGTTAAAAGATTTACTACTAAATGATATAATCTCATACACTTCTCTGGAAAAGGAGACTTACAGCGAAGCTCTATTCGTATAAAATCAGTAATCCCCAAGTTCTCTAAAAATACCCCAGATGAAGCTGTTGTCTTAAAAAAGAAAGACACATCAGCGCTAAGTTCTCCGTGAAAAGTAGGAAAATGAAGATATGAAGCCTCAGTATCAAAGGAAGCTGAATTCCAAAATGATCCTGTTTTGTGGGGAAAAAAAGAAGAAAGAGAATTGAAAAAGAAAACAAATTCAAAAATAAAATGAATGCAATTATATTTTCCATTTTTAGCATTTTTGCTATTAAAAATGTTACTTATTTATACAAATCTGCTCTTTTTTTCTACCAACTATGTAGTATACAAGACATAAGCATAAGAGATTTTACAGGGATTAACATCCCATATTTTTTTCCAATAGAGAGTAAGAATGATTATTACAGAAATGACCTGAATGTTATCTCTTATATGGGAGAAATATCCTCAACCTCATTACTAGATCCTTCACTAAACTGATATTATATGACCTGCCAAATACTGATAAATAGACAATCTTTTATAACTTGAAAATTTAAACACCTACCTGTTTCAAACAAAAACCCTCAAGAAGCTTACAGTATTTTTTATTCTAACACTTCTAATACACATACTTCACTGAGTCACATAAACTGTTTTCCTTAATGGGCCTTGTGATTGTCTAAACTGAGACTGGCATTCTAAATAGTCTTGTCTAATTACAAACCAACATACAACTTAGTCTGTCCAAGCTGACATTCTCATAAAAATGCTCTTTTTATTCAAAATTATTGCTTACATTGCCAATAAGAATGTCCCTGCAAAGGAAGTGGATGTCCTTTGCAGGGACATGGATGAAGCTGGAAACCATCATTCTCCGTAAACTCACACAAGAACAGAAAAACAAATACCACATGTTCTCACTCCTAAGTGGGTACTGAAAAATGAGAACACATGGACACAGGGAGGGGAACATCACACACCAGGGCCTGTCAGGGGGCCGGGTGGTAGGGGACTAGGGGAGGAATAGCAGGGGATGGGAGGATTGGGGAGGGCTAACATTAGGAAAAAAACCTAAGGTAGATGACAGGGGGACAGATGCAGCAAACCACCATGGCACGTGTATACCTATGTAACAAACCTGCACATTCTGCACATGTACCCCAGAACTTAAAATATAATTAAAAAAAGAATGAAGTAGATAAATGGCAAATGAAAAGTGTTCCCAAAATGTTTACAAAGGCTCAAAATAGGCAGAAAATGTTCAAAAGTTTGGGATATAAATTCAAAGATCTGAACAAAATGTAGACTATAAAGTCAATTATCATTGCTGTCCAAATACAACTTATCTTCACTTTCTCACTCTTTTTTTCATATCTACAACTTTCCTTTTGAATACTGTAAACCATATATAGCAAAAAATATGGAAAATAAAATAAAAATGTAACAGCATGAGCTGACAGGAGTGAAATCTGACTGGATACGTGTGGTTGATGAGAAGTATTATCAGAGAAACAAACTCCGCATTGGTCTGCTGCCACTAGCAAGTTCTGTGTACATCAAATACTATATATCTTCCTTTTTTTTCTTTTTTTTTTGAGACAGAGTCTTGCTCTGTCACCAGGAACAGGCTGGAGTGCAGTGGCGATCTCGGCTCACTGCAACCTCCGCCTCCTGGGTTCAAGCAATTCTCCTCCCTCAGCCTCCCGAGTAGCTGGGACTACAGTCACGCGCCACCATGCCCAGCTAATTTTTGTATTTTTGGTAGAGATGGGATTTCACCATGTTGGCCAGGATGGTCTCCATCTCTTGACCTCATGATCCGCCCACCTCAGCCTCCCAAAGTGCTGGGATTATAGGTGTGAGCCACCGCACCTGGCCCTATATCTTTAGTTTTAAGCAATTGCCTCTGCACACATTCCCAACACTGCATAAAATTCTATCTAAATTGCTTTCCTGGAAGAAAGATGTATTGATCTTCTGAAGTTGGAAAACAGGAATTTCAAAACAGTATGTTAGCAGAGAACGGATACTCAGCTACATAGTTAAAAATCACAAACTTGACATGTTTCTTAAGTTTTGAATTACTTTGTATAAATTTTAGACCAAGCAATGCTTATGACTATTTTTGCTTGTCCGCTTTTCCTGTGGACCTGATTCAGAAGTCAATTCTCAGCTTGTGTGTGGACAATTTGAGAGCTGAATTCATTTAACTGTGAATCTACTGTGAAGTTTTTCCTCCCAGAGTCAAATGAAACCATATCTTATCAGGGTCACATCAAGCCTATTCCTTATGTCCCTTTTACAGCTATTCCTATATTAGACATTTGGATTTCCAGGAAAAAAAAAACACAAAAATGTAAAGTATCAAGTTAAGGACACATTTGTGTTCTTAGAAGTGCTTAGCAAAACTGTTTTCAGAAGGAATTAGATGCCTTTTTGTTGAAATGTTGTATATCAAAATAAAGATAAACTTCACTTTATGGAATGTTATTAAATCTTATTTTGTCTGATTAGAAAGAGGGACATTCAAAATTACTTAAAGGTTTAAATTAGGTAATATTATGATATGACATTTCTTTTTTTTCATATTATATCATCACTAACGCAATAGAGCATCATATAAAAGGCTTCAGGGAACTGGCTGAACCAGATGAACAATTTTTTGAATTGCTGCTATTGGTACGTGAATGCTTTTATAGCAATGAAACCAATTTATTACTTTAGGCATCTTCAGCACTCTCATACACATAATAAGGTCTATTTCATTTAGTTAGGAGACCTTATTTTACACATTCACAAAAGGGAGAAAATGAGGTAAGGAAATTTTACTGGGTTAAGAAATTGCTGCTAATTCAAAATAATTATAAAGAAAGCAAAGGCTAATATTTCCATGATCGAATTATGTTAATAGCATGTGATACCCCAGCCCTTTACACAATGTGCTAAGAGACATCCATCAGGATCTGGGCCACCTCAGAGAAAGTGGAAGCAAAGAGAGGGAGGAAACAAGGCTCAGCAGGCAGGCAGCAGCAGGAACTGCAGGCTTCTGTGGATTAGGTGATTTAAAATTCCCTAATCTCATAGAAGGAGGAAGGAGAATGATAGTCACCAGAGGCAGGAAATGGCGTAGGAGAAAAGAGGAAGAGAGACTGGACAATGAATACAAAATGCCAGTTAGATAGAAGGAATAAGCTTAATGTTCAATAGCAGACTGGGGTGATTACAGTTAACATCATAGTGTGTATTTCAAAACACCTAGGAGAACGGACTCGAAATGTTTTCAACTCACAGAAATGATAAATGTTCAAGGTGATGGATATCCTAAATCCCCTGACTTGATCATACACATTCTATGCATGCAAAAAAAATACCATAACATATACCCCATAAATATGCACAAGTATTATTTATCTATAAAAATTTAAAATAAATAATAATAATAAATGAAAAATAAAAAATTCCCTAAGCTGTATCATTATCAATTTAATACAGGGTACTAGAGATTTAAGAATAATTTTTTAGGCCAGGCATGCTGGCTCATGTCTGTAATTCTAGCACTTTGGGAGGCCAAGGCAGGCAGATCACTTGAGGTCAGGAGTTCAAGACCACTCTGGCCAACATGGTAAAACCCTATCTCTACTAAAAATGTAAAAATTAGCCAGGTGTTGTGGCAGACACATGTGACCCCAACTACTTAGGAGGCTGAGGCAGGAGAATCACTTGAGCCTGGGAGGCTGAGGTTCCAGTGAGCCAAGATTATACCACTGCACTCCACCCTAGATGAAAGAATAAGATTCTGCCTTCAAAAAAAAAAAAAAAAAGAAGAATGAGTAGCTGGTACCAATCATTCTGAAACTATTCCAAACAGTACAAAAAGAGGGAATCCTCCCCAACTCATTTTATGAGACCAACATCTTCCTGATACCAAAACCCGGCAGAGACACAACAAAAAAAGAAAACTTCAGGCCAATCTCCATGATGAACATACATGCAAAAATCTTCAATAAAATACTGGCAAACTGATTGCAACACCAAATCAAAAAGCTCATCCATCATGATCAAGGAGGCTTCATCCCAGGCATGCAAGGTTGATTTGACATACGCAAGTCCACAAACATAATCCACCACATAAATAGACCCAAAGACAAAACCACATGATTTTCTCAATAGATGCAGAGAAGCCCTTCAACAAAATTCAGCAGCTCTTTATACTAAAAACTCTCAATAAACGAGATATCAATGGAACCTATCACAAAATAATGTAAGCTATTTATAACAAACCCACTGCCAATATCATACTGAATGGGCAAAAACTGGAAACATTCCCTTTGAAATCTGGCACTAGACAAGGATGCCCTCTCTCTCCACTCCTATTCAATATAGTATCGGAAGTTTTAGCCAAAGCAATTAGGCAAGAAGAAGAAATAAAGGGTATTCAATTAGGAAAGAAAGAAGTCAATTTGTCTCTATTTGCAGATGACATGATTGCATATTTAGAAGATCCCATTGTCTCAGCCCAAACTCTCCTTAAGCTTATAAGCAACTTCAGCAAAGTCTCAGGATACAAAATCAATGTGCAAAAATCACAAGCATTTCTATACACCAATAACAGACAAACAGAGAACCAAATCAAGAGCAAACTCCCATTCACAATTGCTACAAGAATAATAAAATACCTAGGAATACAACTAACAAAGGAGGTAAAGGACCTCTTCAGGGAGAACTACAAACCACTGCTCAAGGAAATAAGAGAGGACACAAACAGATGGAAAAACATTCCATGCTCATGGTGAGGAAGAATCAGTATGGTGAAAATGGCCATACTGCCCAAAGTAACTTATATATTTAACACTATCCCCATCAAACTACCAATGACCTTCTTCACAGAATGGGAAAAAAAAAACCTCTTTAAACTTTATATGGAAACAGAAAAAGAGCCCTCATAGACAAGACAATCCTAAGCAAAAAGAACAAAGCTGGCAGCATCACACTGCCTGACTTCAAAATATACTACAAAACAACCGTAATCAAAACAGCATGGTACTGGTATCAAAACAGAGACACAGACCAATGGAACAGAACAGAGGCCTCTGGATCAACACCACACATCTACAACCATCTGATCTTTGACAAACCTCACAAAAACAAGCAATGGGGAAAGGATCCCCTGTTTAATAAATGGTGT